TGTCTCTCTGGCAAGATGTTCTGCTCCTGAATCAGCTGGGTGGGTCTTGCCTCTAGCCTCTTTGCAGGGAGTTCTGCTGAAGGGTTCCCTGCTGGGCCTGCAGCCTGGGTTGAATGAGGATCTAGCGGGCCCGGGTTGTCTCACTCACTCACCGGGCCTGTGCTCTGGGTCTTTTCAGGATCCCGCGGGCCCTGCATTGTCTCACTCACTCACCAGGCCTGCGCTCTGGGTCTGTTCAGGATCTGGAGGGCCCCGGGTCATCTCACTCCCTCGCAGGGCCTGCACTCTGAGTCTGTTCAGGATCCGGAGGGCCCCAGGTCGTCTCACTCAATCGCGGGGCCTGCGCTCTGGGTCTGTTCAGGATCCCATGGCCTCGTTCGTCTCTTAATTAAAGTTTTAACTGAAGGTTTAACTAATTTTTTTTTTCTTTATCCAATAGTAACTTTCAAAATCTGATGATAGCTGGATATGGCAGCACATGCATGTCACTCTAGCATTCTGGAAGCTGAGACAGAAGGATTTCTATGAGTTTGAGGCCAGTCTGCACTACATAGTGAGACCCTGTCTCTAAAATCAAAAAATCTCCCTATAGAATATACTGTCAGCAGCAATGCTTGGAAATGAAAGTATAAATATTGCTACTAACTTTTAATTATCCTTCTAGTCTAAAATCAAGATTTCAATGCATATTTTTCAATTATAAAAATCAAAAAGTATTCTATTTCAGAGCTAGCTAAGCATGTATTTATTAAAATGTAGCTAGCCTATTTGTTAAAACTAGTATTTTGTATTCTGTTGACAAACAGAAAAATTCACAATCATACTATTAAAAATAGGTACTGAATCATGAATTATTTAAATACAAATTTCTTATAATATATCAAATTTAAAAACCCTACGAGGAGGCTGGGGAGATAGCTCGGTGGTCTAAGCACCTGCCTGGCAAGTTCAAGGACCTGAGATTGATTCCTGGTACCATATGGTACCAAACAAGGGTGGGTAGCCTTTACTGAAGTTTGCCCTCAGGAACTTATCTGTTAGTTCTCTAAATTTTTCACCTAGAAATAAAGGTGTATTTTGTTACAATCAATACAAACAATTCTTTTTTTTTTTTTTTTTTCTTTTTGGCTGGCTCAGGATGCCTTAAGGGCAGATCTGGTAAGGCATGAGGTTCTGGGGATCGAACCACAGTATCCTGATCCTGACTGCCTTTGCTTAAGCAGGCACTTAAACAACTGAGCTAAGGGGCAGGCCCCCCAATACAAACAATTCTTAGAATGATTTTACATAGAAAAATAAAGGTCCCTTAGAAACAGTTATCCTCAGTCCAAGTTTTAAATCCCAAAATTCTTTCAGCATTACTCTTGCTATATAAAAAGGATCAAACCTTGAGCTGGACCCCATTCCATCCCCAGTAGTACCAGCTGCTTGAGAGATGTGGTAGAGATCAATGGAGCCCAAGTTCAAGCCCAGCATGGACAACAGGGATCTGATCTCCAATAATAATA